TTCAATTCCTCGCTGGTTGACCATGTACCCCAAGAACTTGCCGGAAGCCACCCCAAAGGCACATTTCAAGGGGTTGAGCCTCATCCTGTACCTTCTCAGGATTTGGAAGGTGTTGTTGAGGTGCGATACGTGGCTTTCTGCCTCTAAGCTTTTCACTAGCATATCATCCACGTAGACCTCCATTGTCTTGCCAATGAGGTCGGTGAACATTTTGTTCACGAGTCTTTGGTAAGTTGCTCATGCATTTTTCAACCCGAAAGGCATCATTGTATAGCAATAGAGGCCTCGATCCGTGATGAAAGAGGTGTGCTCCTCATCAGCCGGGTGCATGGGGATCTGGTTGTATCCGGAGTATGCATCCATGAAGCTCAATAACTCGTGCCCAGCCGTGGAGTCCACCAATTGGTCAATCCTTGGAAGCAGAAAGCTATCTTTCGGGCAAGCTCTATTAAGGTTGGTGAAGTCGATGCACACTCGCCATTTGCCATTGGGTTTCTTAACCAAGACCGGGTTGGACACCCACTTCGGGTAGGTGGCCTCCCCGATGAAGCCATTTTGGATTAGTTTCTGAACCTCTTCCTTCAGGGCCTCATACCTCTCTAGGTTGAGAGCTCTCCTTTTTTGTCTATGCGGGGTAAAATTGGGGTCGATTTTCAAGTGGTGACAGCTGACTTTGGGGTCTATGCCAATCATGTCCTCATGTTTCCAGGCGAAGACGTCCAGGTTCTTGCCTAGAAAATCTTTAATCTTTTCTCTCAAAATGTCGGATAAGCCCCTGCCTACTTTCAGCACCTTGGACGGATCTCGAGGGTCGGCTGAGAAGCTCTCAAGTTCCTCTACGGGGGATGCTTGGGGCTCATGTTCCATTATGCGGGGGTCGATCTCATCGATCAGCGCCTCCTGAACGAGGAGTGCGTCAATCATATCAACATCTTCCTGGTCAGTGGGAGCGTCACCTGGGACATCCGTCATAACCACATCAGCCACGATCACATGGACGTCTCGGGGCTCCACCTTCTTAATAGAGCTCAGATAGCACTCTCGCGAACCTCTCTGGTCGCCTCTCACTGTTGCCACCCCATTTTCTGTTGGGAATTTCATGCATAGGTGGTGGATGGAGGTGACTGCTCCCAATTCCTTTAGGGCCGGTCTGCCCAAGACCCCGTGGTAAGCCGACCGGCTGTCGACTACGAGGAACTCCATAAAGTTCATCGTAGTTTGAGGAGATTCTCCCATCTCCACTGCCAGTGTTATCTTTCCTCTCGGGGTAATGCTATCTTCCGGTAAATCAGTACAATGGAGTGGTGGTGGGTGTCAACTGATGGTCCAATATCATCTTGTCAAAGGCGGACCCGAATAAGATGTTGACGGAGCTGCCATTGTCGACAAGCATTCGTTTGAGCCCATTTCGGGCTATGACCGCCCTCACTACCAGCGCATCGCAGTGGGGGTAATGAACTCCTTCGGCGTCTTCCTGGGTGAAGACAATGGGTGGTGCTTGGTTTCTTCGGGAGCTATTATCTACAATGTAACTTGTCAGAGGGGGGTGCTTAGCCTCCCTAGCATAGTTTCTTTTGGCGTTTCGCGTTTCACCGCCAACGTAAGGGCCTCCAAATATGGTATCTATCTCGTGGATAGGGGCTTCATCTTGAGCTTGCCTGTTCCTTCGGTGTCTACGCCCTTCCTGGGCCTCTCCGTGTCTTGCTCTCTTCGCCTTGGGGAAACATCCCTTTGGCGAGGAGCGGCCGCCTCACGCCCATGTCGGTTGTCTTTCCTGCCTGGGCGGGGACCTGTTCGCCTGGGGCGAGTTATGTCTTTCTCTGATGGGTTCCTGCCGGGAACGGTGTGCATAGTCTCTGCAATCCGTGGTGTTGTGCCCGTAGGACCTATGGTGCAAACAGTATCCGGGGAGGTTCGGATTGGACCTATTTCTAGGTGCAAAACCTAGACCTCGACCTCGGCCTCTCCCTCTACGGGGTCCCTGATGCGCCTGTGGCTGATGTGGGTCAGTGGTTGGGTTGACATCCTCATACGCCAAGGTTGGTACCGCGTTCAGAGTTGTGGTGGCCAGGGCTTGGCCGGAGTTCTCATTTCCAGATCGGTTCATCTGGTAGTCCATGAGGTGGGAGGTCGGCCCCCTACCTCGCTGTCTTTGTGGAGGTGGGAGGCCCCTGCTTGCCCTGTTTCTATGCTCAATCAATTCTTCATTGATTATCTCTCTTCTCATCATTTCTAGTAGGGCGTCATAGGTGGTTGGGTCCTGATTCTGCACGTCCCTCCAGAATAGGGTGTTCATGTTCAATCCTCCTCTTAATGCAGATAGTGCTTCCCTGTCGGTGACTTGCACACAGTAGGTCATCTCGTCGGTGAAGCGGGATAGGAAGCTTTTCAAGGACTCGCCATGCGCCTGTCTCATGTCTTGAAGACGCTGGATGGGGGCCTCTCCTTCCTTGCTCACTGCGAACCTCTTTAAGAAAGTAGTTTTGAACTCGGGCCAGCTCCGGATGCTCCCAGATGGTAGCCTACTATACCAGATTTCAGCCGCTCCGCTGAGGGTTAAATGGAATGCTCTGCACTTCACAGCTGGGGTAGCACCCCTCAGGCTCATGTGAGTTTTGTAAGCATTGAGGTGCTTTTCTGGGTCACCTCTCC